ATGAGGTAACATGGGTTTGCCTTCTTGTGAGCCCACCATCTGCAAGAGGGGTCATATGAGTAAGATGCATGACGCCATGGGCAGTGGCAGAAGGCGGGGACCTTGGTGCTCTGACCCTGACTTACCAAAGCTGTCTCTTGGGACATGTAATGTGACCTCTCTGGCAGGGAAGGAGCCTGAGCTTGTGTGTGAGGTTGAGAGGTAATGACTAGATATAGGTGGGCTCATCTCGACGCACAGCACGGACTCTAGAACTGATCTCCTTGAGAGGGGCTGGACCTTATTCCACTCTGGATTTGCCGATGGTGAGAGGTGCCAAGTTGGTGTGGGCCTATTCTTAGTCCACGGAGTTGGTGCCTGTGTGTTGGAGTTTTCCCTGGTAGATGAGAGTGTAGCTTCCCTGTGCCTTCAGATGGGGGGATGGGCTCTGATTGTTGTTTGTGCCTATGTGCTGAACAGCAGTTCAGACATATCAAGCCATCTTGGAATCCTTGGTGGAGGTGCTGGAAGGTGCACCAGCTGGGGGCTCCTTTATTCTGCTGGGGAACTTTAATGCCCATGTGGGAAATGACAATGTGACCTGGAGGGGCATGATTGGGAGGAACAGCCTCTCTGATCTGAACTTGAGTAGTGTCCTGTTGTTGAACTTCTGTGCTAGTCATAGTTTGTCCATCACAAACACTGTTCGAACATAACGGTGTCCATAAGTGCACTTGGCACCAGGACACCCAAGGTTGTAGATTATTGACTGACTTTGTAGTTGTGCCATCAGATTTGCAGCCATTTGTTTTGGACACTCGGGTGAAGAGAGGAGCTGAGCTGTCAACTGATCACCACCTGGTAGTGAGTTAGATCAGACGGTGGGGGAAGATGCTGGACAGACCTGGTAGACCCAAACATGTATTGAGGGTTTGCTGGGAATGCCTGGCAGGAGAACCCATCAGAAAGATCTTTAACTCACACCTCTGGGAGAGCTGTAACTGTATCCCTGCTGAGTCATGGGACATTGATTCCGGGTGAGCCATGTTCCATGCATCACTGTTAAACTGGCTGCCTTGAACTGTGGCCACAAAGTTGTCTGTGTTTCTCGCAGTGGCCATCCTCGAACTCGGTGGTGGACACCCCGGGTCAGGGAGGCTGTCACACTGAAGGAGGAGTCTTATTATTCCTTGTTGACTAGTGAGACTCTGGAGGCAGCTGAGAAGTACCAGAGGGCCAAGCGGTCTGCAGCCTTGGCTGTTGCTGAGGCAAAAGCTCGGATGTGGGAGGAGTTCAGTGAGACCTTGGATATAGACTCTCAGTTGGCTCCAAGGAGATTATGGCAAACCATCAGATGACTGAGGAAGGGAAAGCAGCTCTTTACTAACACTGTGCTCAGTGAAAGTGGTGTGCTGTTGACCTCAACCAGTGATGTCATCGGGAGGTGGAAGGAATACCTCTTGGACCTTCTCAATCCCACTGGCACATCTTCCATGGTGGAAACAAAGTTGGGTGACTTTGGGGTTGGTCTTTCCATAACTGTGCCTGAGGTTGCCAAGGTAGTTAAAATGTTTTGTGGCTGCAGGGCTCCGGGGATGTATGAGATTCTACCAGATTTCCTTAAGGGTCTGGACATTGTGGCGCTGTCTTGGTTGACATGCCTTTGCAACATCGCATGGACATTGGGGGCAGTGGCACTGGATTACCAGACTGGGGTGGTGGCTCCCCTCTTTATAAAAGAGGGTCAGAGGGTGTGTGCTCCAATTACAGGGGCATCACTCTCCTTAGTCTTCCTGGTATGGTCTATTCAGGGCTACTGGAGAAGCAAGTCTGATCGTTGGTCAAACTTCAGATCTAAGAAGAATAATGCTGGTTTTGTCTAGGCCGTGGAACACTGGACCAGCTCTTTACCATAGGGTCCTCAAGGGGTTATGGGAGTTTGTCCATCCAGTCTACATGTGTTTTTTTGGACTTGGAGAAGGCATTAAATCATGTTGCTTGGGGTACACTGTGGGGGGTGCTCCGAGAGTATGGGATTGGGGGCTCGTTGTTACGGGCTGTTCGGTCCCTTTGGTTCACATTGTCAGACCCCTTCAGGGTGAGTGTTAGACTCCACAAGGGCTACCCATTGTTACAGATTCTTTTCATAACTTATATGGACATAATTTCTCTGTGCAACCAGGTGGTGGAGGGTTTTCGGTTCGGTGGCCTCAGGATTCAATCTTTGCTCTTTGCAGATGATGTGGTCCTGTTGATGTCATTGTGCTGTGACCTTCAGCTCTCACTGGAATGGTTCACAGCAGAGAATGAAGCAGCTGGGATGAGAATCAGCACTTCCAAATCTGAGGCCATGGTCCTCAATTGGAAAAGGATAGACTGCTCTCTTGAGGTCATGGGTAAGGTTCTGCCTCAAATGGAAGAGTTCAAGTATCTTGAGATATTGTTCATGAGTGAGAGAAGAATGGAGCGTGAGATTGACAGACGGATTGGTGCAGCATATGCAGCAGTGTGGACTCTGTACCAGTCCGTTGTAGTGAAGAGGGAGCTGAGCTATAAGGCAAAGCCCTCTGTTTACCAGTCGGTCTACGTTCCTATACGAGCTCTGGGTAGTGACCAAAAGAATGAGCTTGCGGATACAGGTTGTTGAAATGAATTTTCTCCACAGGGTAGCTGGACTCTCCCTTAGTGATAGGATGATAAGTTTGGTTATCCAGGAGAGACTCAGAGTAGAAACGCTGCTCCTCCACATCGAAAGTAGCCAGTTGAGGTGGTTCGGGCATCTGGTAAGGATGCTCCCTGGGCGCCTCCCTAGGGAGGTGCTTCGGACATGTCCAACTGGGAGGAGATCCCAGGGAAGACCCAGGGCATGCTGGAGAGACTATGTCTCTCGGTTGGTCTGGGAACACCTTGGAATTCTCCCAGAATAGCTGGAAGAGGTGGCTGTAGAAAGAGTTGTCTGGGCCTAACAGCTCAAGCTGCTGCCCCTAACTTCTGAACAAGCAGAAGATAATGGCTGGATGTAAATATTCAAATATGCACCCGATTTGCATTCATTTTTCTTTACGTTTGAATTCAGGTGACCAAGGTGTGACTGGAGAGGTAGGGGACTTGGGGAAGCTTGGGAAGAATGGACCACCAGGAGTTCCAGGTAAAAAAATATATATTTTTTTAATCATCGGTGAAACAAGTTTCTTTTATATTTATTTGATAAGAAATGACAGATAAATTTTATGATTAAGAAAAGTACAGATTCTTTATTTTTATTTCAGTCCTTGACCAAAAGTTTTAAGTGAAAATTAAACAACTGATTAATAAAATCAGAAACACAAGAAATTTTCCCCCACTTAAAAAAATTATTTAACTTAACCTTTTTTCTTCTGTCTCCTGTTGTGCTATCTAAATAGTTAATTGAAATTAGCATCCTGATGCTAAAAGGACTTGCCTGTTAATAATGTAAATGTAGCCCTGCAACATCTGTGACTAAGAAAATTCATTTTTCCTTGTCCAGTAACATGTTTTCAACATTCAGGAATGCAAACAGACAAATTTTACTTTTGTATTATCCTTAGTCTCATCTGTGATTATTAATTATAAAGAAAGACAGATAAAAGAGACTAATAAAATCTTATGACAACCCCCCCCCAAATAAAAAACAAACAAATAACATAAATCAATGAATAGCATATTCCACCTGGTTTCCAAAGAAGAAAGAACCAACGTTTGCCAACCAAAAGCACATTTTCAGTCATGTGTAAAAGAAAATGTTTGCGCTCTTTCAATTCTGGTTTTACCTATCAGGAAGACATTTTTTCAATGTTTATTGGTTTATTGTGACAAATAAAAAAGACACAATTTATATGGAAACACTGTAGTTTCCATGCTAATTAGGACTGTCACTTTAAAATTTTTGTATGTTGACCCAAACTGTCATTCATGCTGAGTGAGGGTGTTGTTGTAAAATGAGATTTGGGTTGTTTGGTGAACATGTGCATAAGGAGGAGTTAAGAAAAACATATTCATGTTTTTCTAGCCACTGATACCCAGTTCAGCTCTATGAATCACACATGCACTGTCAGCATGATTAGTTTGTACCGAAATTTTTTTGACTGCAGCCGCCTGTAGTGCACGTGTGCGACTTCCCATCTGGGAAGTATTTCACATCTCTGTGGAGGATTTCACATCAACTGAGCCACCGTGCCACCCAGAAAAGCAGCAGTTTCACTCAAAAGATGTGTCATTTAAACAGGGTTTTAATGCCAAGAAGGAAGGAGATCAGCAATGAATTTAGGCAAGTAACCGTTGATGTCTGGGAAATCGGGGAAAAAGTTAAAGGTCATATTAAAAGAAGGTAGTTTATCATTCTGCAGAGAGAAAAAAATATGCACAGATCAAAAACAATCAAGACAGTTGCTAATTTGATCATAAGTGGAGATCACAGTAAATTGCCAATTGCCCACAAAGTGACAATATGCAATGCTCAAATAAATAAATAAATAAATAAATAAATAAATAAACAGCTCTATTTCAGACCACTCTACCACTTAGTAGGTTAAACTTTACAATTAATGATATGAGAACATCCCTTCTTTATAAACTATTGAGCAGCACAACTTGGGCTTGTAATGTTTTATCTCACTAAACCACAAGACTTTTGGTACAATGTCAAATGGACAGATGCGACCAAAGTAGACTTTTTGTCCATAATGCACTTCAGCATCTCCTCCTCTATTTCCATATTCTACCACTTCTCTGTAGTCGGGTTATTGAGGCAACAGGTCCAGGAGAGAGACACAGACATCCCTCTCCCTAGCAACGCTCTCCAACTCCCTCTGGGAGACCATGAGATGTTTCCAGGCTAGGGAAGATATATATATTTTTTTTCATTTAGCCTTTATTTATCCAGGTTAGTCTCATTGAGCCACGAGAACTCATTTTCAAGAGAGACCTGTTTAGGGAGCACATGGTGGGGGTTAAGGGCCTTGCTCATGGGCCCAGAGTGGGGCGAATGAGGGTGGGGGCAAGTGTGGGTGTTTCACCTACCCCACCCACAATTTTGATGTTGTCGGGGCCGGGGCGTGAACCGGCGATCTTCGGATCACAAGCCCACCTCTCTAACCTCTGCGCCACCACTCCCCGTATATAGAATCCTTCCAGCGAGTTCTGGGTCTGGCCTGGGGTCTCTTACCAACAGGGCATATCCACAATACCTAAATTATTTTTCTTAACCTTTATTTAACCAGGCAAATTCCACTGCGATCACAGATTATTTTGCAAGGGTGCCCTGCACCTGAATGCAGTCAAACATACGCTGCCTTCTAAATAATTGGTGGCGGGCAGCAGTTACTCACCTAATGAAGTGACCCAAGTCACCTACACTGACTGACGAAAACAGTTTCTTAAAAATTCTCTGATTTGCTATTGCTGAATATAGTATACACTTCATTTCATTGTCGGACATGTCATGTCTGAAGGATTATCTGCACATTATATAAGATTTTTTCTAATTTTTCATGACTATAGACATTTCAAAAACTCAGCTTTAAATTTTGTTTATGTTTCAGAGCCAGCCAATGAGCACATGCTAAGGGCACCCCCTCCTCCTCCTCCGCAACTTAGATTGTACCTGCTCTGGTCCCTCCCCCTCCTCCCTGACTGCTCACGTGACCCCAAAACAATATGTTGAAAGTTCCTGGAGAAACTTTGACGGGGACTGCCATGTGGTAGCCATTTTAAAATTCAGATGACAACACTGCCTACATTTTGATAATATGTATGTGTATCTTAAAAGATGTGGTGGTAGGAAGAGTTTTGATGACATACTGAGACCTCTTGACTCAGTCTTGTGACCTCACTGTGGCAGTCAGAAGCTGTTAAGAGTTCTGTCAGTATTTTTCAATGAAAAAAATGGTGTCTGTTTGCAAATTACGTTGCCACGGTAACTCAAAATGCCAATAAAAGTACCGTATTTTCCGGATTATAGATTGCTCCAGAGTATAGTTTGCATCAGTCAAAAAAATGCCTCAAGAAGAGGAAAAAAATATATATAAGTCACTTCGGCATATAAGTCACATTTATTTAGAAGTGTATTTCACAAAGTGCAATAACAGACATTTAATCTGAAATAACAATAACACACAGAACATACCTAGGATCACCCATCCATCCATCCATCCATCCATCCATCCATCCATCCAT